TAAATGAATGCTAAATCAGATCAACTAAAAGGTTATAAATGTGAGCTGACATTTGAACTTGAGATGGTTTAGTTGTAATTAAAGATCACTGATGTTGTGCTGGAGGTAGATGGCAGGTGAAAGGTCAGGGAAAAGCAGAACGATAACAAGAGCCTGAGAGGAATGGGTAATCTTGTATTTTTGATTTCTCGTGATTGAAAGAATGACTCATTGTAAGAGTAGTGTTAATTAGAAGAAAAGGTAGTTAAATATAGAAAGTCTTAATCAGATATGCCGATTTATTTGACGTGATCTGATTTCATCTGACATCTGATTTTGGTTGACACGTTATGGGTCTAAGTAATCGTGCGGTGTCTATATTTCAGTGGACTGATTTTTGGCAATCAAATGTTAATTTTTGGGTATTGGAAATATAAATGAGATTAAAGTATTAGGTTAAAATAAGAGGCTTTTTGGGTGAGACATGCTGACTGTTGAGAGGCAGAGTAAAAACATTAAAAAGTATAAACAGATGTTTGCAGAGGAGCGGACGAAGACAGGAGAGGTGAAAGCTGGTAAAGTTTCCAAAGGCTAAGAGGTCACGTAGGAACCACCCATGTGGACGGTTGGGTTGTCACCTATACCATCCACATACACATACATGTAAACAAAAGATATATAAACTCTAAGAAGGGGAAGCAAAGCGTTCTTTGTTCCTGGTGTCGGAGTAGAGCTAGCAAAACGCAGGAGGATCAACAGCAGAGGACGACGCCCTGGAAACCACGGACAGGCTAAAGGCTCCGCACCACCTGTAAAGGACAAGACCCGTGTACCCACCTTTCCGGGTTTCCTGATTCGACCGCTGCCCTGCTCTCTGCCCCAAAGACCCCAACTCTGCTGCAATGGACTTGGTGAATGGACAAAGGTCACTGATTGACTGGGATCTAAGAGCCTGAAGGATAAAAAAAGACTAGATCTGCTTTGTTCCATTTCAAAGGGATTTTTGTCTCAACAAGACAAGATTCTGACCAAGAACGTTGAAATTTCTGTTGCCAAGGGACATTACATGTACTGGGTATGAGTCCGACTGCTCCCCAAAGCCTCTTAGAAAATCTAATGATAGGATAAGGAAGGGATAGATAATGTGGTTGTAATCTGATATCTAAAAATTGTTAATTGTATTTGGCAAATCACTGAAATAAGTTGCTGTCACTTAACCTTGCAAAAGCTACTAATAAATATATATATATAAAATTTTATTGACGATTGTGGACATTGAAATTAATTCTGAGTCCAGAATTACTAATATTTCTTCTGATTATGGTAAAGTCTATGTGCATGGTTCTAGGAAAATGGTGGCTCCAAAAGTTTCTTTGGCGATGAGTAAATAATCACCCTGGTTCAAGCCGAGCCACTAAAATTTATCTAGTCTGCAACAAGTGTTCATTATTATAAGGAAGAGAGCTGCCGTTCACAAAAGTGATTACTGGGGCTAGGTAACCTTGAGAGCTACTGGGTTAATTGTCTTAATAATTGTAGGCAGTCAGAGGCTCGACGAGTCCTCCTGCCACCAGCTTAAACAGAATGCTTTCTAGACTATCCATGGAGTAAAAGCCCCAGGAACTAGAGACTTTCCCGACCCATTAACTGGAGAGCTGGTCAATAGTCAGTCCGTGAGATTTGAGAGGGTTTAGGTGGAGCTGGCTATTGCGCAATAACAGACAAAAGGAAAAAAAATCTTCAGACTCTGAGTTTCTTTTCACCTACACAACAGGAAGTTTGCTCTGTAAAACCTCTGGGTTGTTTGAAAAGTGACTTATAAATAACGGCAAGCTAATCATTCACAAGTCCTCAAGAAGACGTGCAAACAGTTGAACTTTCTAAAAGTTTATTACGTAGCAATCACCAACTTCAGTGCATAAATTTATCCCCTTTTACTCCTTTACCACTAAACAAAAGCCAGTGCAACAGTAAAACACAGTGTCAAAGTCTGTCAATGTAAAACCATGAATCTGTTTTTTTTCTTCTTTAAATTTCATGCTGATTTTTCCAGATTTTAATGGTTTACACAACATTTGGCAAGAACACAAAAATCTAAACTGGCTGTTTGTACTATGGGTCATTTCATGAGACCAAAATGCAGGAAAAAAGGCTGGAAATGTTTTTATTCTGGTAAAAAGCTGCTTTGTTTGACAGTAAACAGAAAATGGATATAAAATAACTTTTTTCAACCACAAAGAAAGACGTCAAGCGCATTAAGAAAAATACACAAGCAATAGTATTAATAGTATTAAAGAATAATTTAGGACAGTGATTTCCAAACATTTTCTGGGCCCCCTCGACCCAGAGCGAGCTCATGTTGCGTTGAAAGGTGGTTCGGAAAAACAGGTTACAACGTGTTAACAACAGATTAAACAGTTTTAACTGCTGATAAAAGTGACAGAGGACACAGATGGGAAGTGTGGAAGCCTCTACTGTATCAAATTGACAGAGGAATAACAGAATTGGCCATTCTAAGGTAAAAACCCAGCGCATACAGTGTTCATGTTTTGTTTTTTTTTTCATCCAGACGGCTTCCCGCGCCCCCCCTGTAATGGCACGGCGCCCCCTATACGGGGCGCGCCCCACAGTTTGGGAACCTCTGATTTAGGAGATAACTCCACAAGTTAATTTTTTTTAATCTCTTTATCTCAAATCAATAAAAAGAGAAACGCCGACTTATAGATGAAAATGAAACTCTTCCAGCAATGCATTCATCTTTTAACTTTGACTTTTCTGGTTAAATTTATGGCTGAAGTCCATCAAAATGATCTTCAATAGTTTTAGATGTATATAGGCCAAAAACTGACAACATAGATTTAAAAAAAATGAAGGCTTGATTTGGCTTTTACATTCAAGTTTTTTCTTTCCTTCTTTGTTTGTCATTTTTGTAGAGCCTTTTTCTCCAAGGTCATAAACGGCAAACATCCAGGGAATACAATCCTTCAAAACTAAAAATGCTTTGAAAATACCACGATTTTAACAACTAAACCAGAAGTTATCATCTCTAATTTTTCATAAAAATCTGATTTAGATTTATGACCAAACTATCTTTAACTCAGAAGCTTTCAAAAATAATAGATTCATTCTGAAAAAGTCCAAAACAAACAAACAAGACTTGGGATGGCGTTGCAGTTTCTGCAAAAACACAAAATCTTACCAAGTATTTTCTTCTGCAAATATCTTAGTTCACTTGAAATAAGACAAAACCAATTTACAGGTAACAATTATTAGCTTGTTTTATGTCAATAAATCCTTAGTATTGATGAAAAAATAATAGTTCACAGATTATTTTACTTTGAATGTGGAAAAAATGTCTTGTTATAAGTGTGAAAATCTATTTTTTATCAATATTAAGGAATTATTTACTTAAAACTAGCCCTTACATTTTGCTGAAAAATTACTTGTAATTTTTGTCTTTTTTCAAGCGTACTTAAATATTTTCTCTAGGAAATAAACCAAAAACATTTCATAACATTTTGTGGGGTTGTTTTGCCATCTGACATTTAAAACAATGTTTTCAACTTTTAGTTTCTATAATCTGGTAACCAAGAAATGAGCATAAAAGAAAATTTAAAGGAAATCAGCTGACCTTGTTGCGACGCCAGGCGTTAGAAGATGAACGGCGAGGAGCGGCTCGTCTTCAGACGGAAATCTGCTCTACAGTCCAGATCAATGATTTTACTACCAATCGTTTTTCCACCGCAATAGGAACACATCGGTTGGGAAACGACTGGAAAATGGAAAGCAAAATCTCTTTAGATTTTCTGCTGCAACTAGAAAAAAGGGAACAGAGATAGGGGGACTGAGGGCGGTAGAGAAATGAATGGACGCTGTGTTTAAGGGCCGGAGCTGCTCTTAGGGATATAATACTCTGTTTTATCTGAGGTGGGATCAGATAAAGGGACCGGAGCCGGGCCATGGAGATTGGGTTCTGGGGGGACGCAGGAATTTCTGCAATTAAGATGCAGAGGACAGACTCTTTCAGAACGAGATCAGCCTGAAATCACTGCAAAAACTAAAGTTAGACACAATCAACTAAAGTTGAAATCAACTAAAGTCAACTTAAACATCATGTATATGCATCCAATTCAAATCAATAGTTATATACTGTTGATTTAATAACGATACAAACTCACAGCTTCAGTTATTACAGCTAGGAACTACTGAAATCTGTCTCTGAACCCTCAGACACACAAAAAGATAGTTACAAAATCAGCCTTCTGTCACCTGAAGAACATTCCCAGGACTAAAGAAACTCAGATTAACTTCCAAAAAACTGCAAAACAGCCGAAACACTGGCATCTAAATCAAGACTACAAACTCTTGATAATCAAGCGTTTTCTTTGATTAACAATAACTGGAACATTGATCGACATATTTGATGTGTAGTGATGATTTTGGTGATGGCGTTTGACAAAATGTAATTTCATAGATTGTAGTGAATGAGAGATGTTTTTATGGTGTGAAGCACTTTGAACTACTTGATGCTGGCACGTTCTTCACAAATAAACTTGATTTTAATCATGTTCAACACTAAAGACTGGTTTCTTTAGCAATTAAACAGGAGAAAGTACAGCAGGGAGGTTCAAACGTTTTGTCACCCAGACCAAAATTGTAGACTCAAAAGCCAAAAAGCCTAGCCTAAATGTATAAGATCCAAAATATGAAAAGGATTTTTACAACAGTGTGTTAGGGCTGTTGTAGACTGGAAAAAAAAGTCAATTCCTGCCAAAACTTCAGAAATTTTGTAATTAATCTCAGAAATTTGGAACTTTCTCAGAAAATGTTCAAAAGAAAATTTTCTTAGGGATACTTACTTACTCTAAAAATTGTATTTTTTTTCTAGCACATGTCCTTATTTTTTCTAAAAAATTATATATTTTTTTACAATGGGCCCTAATACACCGTAGTGGATTTTGCACAAAAAACATCTAGTTTTCAGGGTTTTTTGGGGGCTTGAGTGAATAAATGTATTTTCAGCAATAAGAACAGGATTTGGGTCACTTTGTTTTCAAAATGCTCGCTATATTTAGCCGAGTTTAAGAAAGAACAAGAGCTGATTTTGCTGCAGCTTTTCAGTAAAAGTCTTTGGATAAACAAATACTTTATGTTGTACGTAACATTTTCCTGTACAATAGTTTTTATCCTGATAACAAATTAAAAGTCTCCGCCTTTACAGGTCAAATTTGTATCTTTTTTGAACAGCTGGGGGGCCGCACAAAATCAGTCCAAGGGCCACAAATGGTCCCCGGGCCACACTTTGGACACACATGAAGCATAGAAATGGCTGAAATATGTAGCCATTTAAAATCCACAAGTTTGAAAAAGATAAGAACAGTTAAATAACTTGTTGAGCAAAATTACAAGAATGTGGGACATTAGTAATTTAGTCCAGAAATACTACTTTGGGTCACACACTGTAAAAAAAGATTTAAAAAATAAATAAATAATTTCAGAGGGGCACGGATTTGTCCAGAGGAAAAATAATAAAAATACCATTCATCTTGTTTAGCCAATTATTCATCACAAAGCAGGCTGATTAACTGTTGAAATTTAAAAAAGCAAAATGCAACACTGCATGTTTCTGCAGCAACTGCTGATAAGTTTGACTTTAGAGCCGTGAGAAAATTCCTGAGGGAGAAGCAACAAGTACCAACAGGAAAACCGAACCCAGACTTCACAGTCTAAGAGCTGCTGATCGCTCATCCAGCCTGGGTCGGGCTTCACTCTCTGATTACAAACTATAAAAAGAAAAGTTTGGATATTCAGTCATCTCATCTGTTCAGTCATTAGGGAACAAAACTAACAAAGTGCTTTCAGGAACAATGTCCAACTCCGAGCAGCTTCACTGATCCGGAGGGGGAAGGAAGTGTTTGGTGACCTGTGTGACGCGTCGGCGCGCCTCAGCGTTGCTCACCACGAGTCACAGTTTCAGTGGCTATTTATAAAAACGTTATTGAGTCATGAATGAGGAGCGTGACATAAACCTCCTGATTCACACTGAATCTACAGAAAACCTTATGATCAATACATCATTACAGCTGGATTACCGGTATAATCCAGCTGTAACATGTAAAATAAAATGTTGTAAAACTTTTATCCATCTATTAAATTATATTTTATGCTCCAAAAAACATTTAATGCTACCAGGTATTTTTATGGAAGAGGATTGGGGCCACTAGGGGAAAAAAGAAATCTCAGAAATCTGAGATTAAAGTCACTTTGCAGAAAGATATAGGACTTTGTTATAAGTTCTGACTAGTTCCACTGGCAAATTAATTAATTATAGCAAGACATTTTGCCATGTTAAAGGTGAAATAATCTAATTCTTTTTCATGGATATTTTTACATTTTTGATTTAGAACAAGCTATTTCTTACTTACAAGTAACTTTTCAGTAGGATATAGGTGTCAGGATACGTTTAGATGGTGGACGCAAATGCAAAAACGCAGAGAGAAATGAAAAATGTTTCATGAAAATAAAAGATGGAAAAACTTACAAGGAGCAATATTTTTCATCAATATTAAGGAATTATTGACTAAAACAAGCTCCTGATTCTTGCTGAAAAGTCACCTGTAGGTCAGTTTTGTCTTATTTAAAGTGTTTCCACTAGAAACTAGGCAAAAAGTATTTGGTAAGATCCCCGTTTCTTTTCATTGGGTTAAACTGAAATTATCTGATTTGATTTGAGATTAAAGTAAAATATAAAACCCAACATGAGTCGTTTCAGAGGTGAACTAGAAAGAAACGCTTTTAAATTTTGGCTTGTGAAACTGTTGAGTTCAGTTTAATTCAACCGTTTTTCATCTGCCGTGTTGTTCAGTATTTCTTCTTGTTGCATATTTTCATATTATTCACATCATACAGCTAAACAGCAACAGGAATAAACAAACAAAAGCGGCTGAATAAATAAACCCATTCGCAGGGAGAATGAAGGTACCGGTGTTTGTTTTTGAAAACCGCCTCGGGCCGTAACGTGCCAAAACAAGCGGACTGTGAAGGAACGCGCAATCTGCTGTACCTTCTTGGAAGTGGTGCGACTGGTTGCCACTCCCAGGTGGATACCCAGGTGTTCTGTCTCTGCCTACACACCTGCTTGTAGAAAACAGTCTGGACAGGTTTCCTGCTGCAACACAAGAGGAACCACAATCACACCACTAACGCTACAGAAAAGATTTTTTTATTTGTATCATTAAAAGGGTTTTTTTTTACTTTCGCTTCTTCTGTGATGTTACTACCATAGTAGATTATTATTATATAATTATTAGCTTTTTTCTCTGTTTTTTTAAATGTTTTATTTAAAAATTTATATACTTTTTAATTTTATGTAAGAATAAAAATATATAGACTTTACTGAATATAGAGGGAAATACTAATACTAGGAACCTTGAAGCTACTGAAGAAAATCAAACTCATGACTCAAAATGCGACTTTCTGCTTCTGCATGTTTCAGAATATGTAGTGCATGTTTGGTATTTCTGACATGGCGGTTTGCCCAGGGCGTCACTGAGTCGGGGGGTGACACAAGAGCCAAAAACAGCTTACTGGTATGTCTAGCCATACCAATATGACTACAGGTTTAAATAACCTCTCTCAGATTGTTTAAAGGTGACCTGTTATGCTTCCTTGAACGGGTTAGGACAGGTAAACAAAACACGTTCATTACATTTTTTGAACATAATTTTGAGATTTCAGTCTGCCTATTTTCAGCTGTTTTAGGGCGTCCTGTCACTTTAAATCTAAATAAGCTGCTGTTGGCCACGCCCTCCAACTCAACATTTACACTTGCACGTAAAAATGGCTGCAAAAAGATCCGCAATTATGCAACTGTACATCTTTGAACATCATTAGTAGAGCCTCCTGCACAACCATCAAGAATGCAGCAAGTGGTCTCTGGATGGTACGTCAACAACAAAACACTTGAACAACACATACAGCAGTAAAACCAGCTGACCAAACGTGCTGGAGATTCACGGGGGTTGCTAGGTAAACGGGCTGAGTTTGGATGGGGTTGCTAGGCAACAGAGCAGTGCCTGCTGATTTATGCCATTACATTCGGAAAGTTTCTGAAACAGCTAATTTTCCAGACAACAAAATAATATTAACTTCCCCCTCCCCCCAAAAAAAAGACTGGATGCTTTTTTTTAAGCGCTTAGATTGTTTTTAGAAGCAGTTGACACTCAAATTGGAGGATAAAAATAGCTTCCCTTTAAAACTCTCTTATATTCCTGAGATTTTTATTTCTTTTGTGAGAACAGCGTTCCTGTTTGATACCAGCATGAACAACCTGAACTGAATTATTCTACTTTGGGTGTTTTTGCTACTCCAATCACAGTTTTGGCTTTTAAAATCTTTTTTTAAAATAAATAAAATGTCTCTGGCGCAAAAGAGAGGGTTTACCCAGAGTGGCATTAATGCAACTAGCTGTCTATGTAAGTTTAAAATGTAATTTGCAGAATTAAACCAGATTTTACACAAAAATGGCACAATCTGCTGAGTAAAATAAAGATAGCAAAAAAAAAAGGAAGTTATTTTTGGGTTTAGTAATTATTTAATAACTCATCTACTGGAGAACATTCCTCCTTCTACTCCCACCATGTTAAGTGACAGGAAGTTTAATCTGTGTTAAATCTTCTGCTGACTGGTTCACATTTACGCTCCTGCGGTGACGTCGCTGCTTTTAAAGGACGTTCTGGAAAGAAACGAGTTACAACACGTTAGAAATGGATACTCCCTAAAACTCCTGGAACAAACTGTTACGCTGAAGCCTGTCAGTTACAAATCATGAAGTAGCGAAACAATGGCATCACAGGGGAGGTGGAGAGGAATGGCTAACGGGTTTTAGTTCCTCTTTTTTGCATTTCAGCTTTTTCATTTGAGCAGAATTACACCAAATTTAAATGACTGGTTGCCTTACTTTATATGAAGAATATGACACTTTAACAGTGTGCAAAAGGTTTTACCTTTGATTTTAGGCTTCAGGGTTCTTAGTTTGGACGCTGAGAGTCGATATTTGTCTTATTCTGGCAGTTTGTGAGAAAGAGAAATGGTGAGGATTCCTGCTCCTTTAAGTGCAACATTTCATTATATGGTGGAGTTTTATGGCCAGACTAACACAAAATAAAAAATGGAAAGATATAATTAGGAGAATAAAGTCATGCAAGCATAAAATCAGAATAAAACAGGAATAAAGTCACAATGTTATGACAAAGTTGAAATAACATGAGTCATAATATTATGTTATTCATGTAATTTAATGACTTTATTATTTTTATTTTTTTAGCTCAAGCTAAAGTTGGGTTGTTTTTTGTTGTTTTTAATCTGATCCTGCTTATCGTTTCATACTGAAGACACTTTCATGTCTGGGCTTTATTATGGTGATTTCATCTCTATGCATGCATCATCACACAGCCTCAAAATGCTGGAGTCAGGTTACAAAGGTTTGATTTATACCACATCTTAAAGGTCTAACTCACCATTATCAACTCCATTCATCTGTTTCATGCTCTGATTTCTCCTTTTGCAATGAGGCACCGGAGGATTTTAATCTACAAAAGGAGGTTTTTTCCAGTTCATATGTTCAGATTTAAATCCAGAGGAAAAGTTCAAATTGCTACAGTTTTCATTCCCAAATGGTTGTTTCTTTGTGTGAACCGTTAATGACCAGACTTTTAAATCGGCTGCTCCTCGTTGAAGAATCTAAATATTTTTTAGATTGTTTCATCTTACAGTTCTGAGGGTAATTTGAATGACAGAGGCAGAAACTCCTCGCTATGGATCGTTTATCTGATTTGTTTTATTAAAGTAATGCTTTAAAGGCTGAGATTATCTTGCTGTAAAGTCAACGATGCAAAAGAGCAAATGTCAGGAAAATGTATAATTTATAACTGATGGAAATGTGAACCAAAAAGACTGAATGCTGGAACAGAAATAAAAGCTGAACCAACAGAGTATCGTATGTCTGCGCATTAAAGAATCCAGGCGTTTTATTTTCAACCTGGTTCTCATTTGAATACAGCAGGACAGAATTTGCATTAAAGGCAAATCCAAACAAATTCCTGCTTTGACCAGATGGAGAAATCAACAGATCACAGGAAAGACTGGCGCCCCCTGCCGGCGGAACTGTGCAATAACAGTTTAATTCAATGATTTTTATTGGGAATTAAATCTGTTTTTTTGCTTTCTTTTATAAATATTGTGTAAAGTTTGTAAAAAAGATGTTAAATTGTGTGTTTGTACAAGTATTTTTGTCTAGTTTCCAGTGCAAATATTTTATTACACTTAAAATTAAAGTGTGCTACGATACTTTCACTAGAAACTAGACACAAATACTTGGTAAGATTTTGTGTTTTTGCAGTGTATCAGACAAAACCACAATGAAAGCAAAGCTTCTTCACCTGACCTGACCTCTGACCCCCGGTGACCTTTGTTAATTAGTGGAGAGTCTTTAATGACAGAATGTTGGTTAACCTCAGAGATTCTGTTATCTGTCAGGTAAAAGGATCATTTAGGAGATCATTCCTGGTTCAGCAGAAAACAATAAGAGGAGATAAAGATGAAAGCAGATTTAATGGACTCTTCCAGGATGCATCCACCTCCTAACTTTACATTTTATCATTACATTTACAGCTGAAGCCCACAAAACTTATCTTCTATTCTTTTTAGATGTATGCAGGCCAAACAATAGCAGCATTGAAGGAAAAAAACTTATTTTTGCTTCTGTCTGCATGGCTGACCAGCTAAAAACAAAACGCTGCATTGTTTTGTCTTTTTTAATGCAGGAAAGTCTAATTTAAACAATGAGCCAAACTTTTCTTCCAGGACGTCAAATCTGGTCCACATCCAGTAAATACGATCTAAAAGCTTCCAACATATAATTTTAGCAATTTCACTACTAACAGTAACAGTACATATTTACTAACTACATTTTGTTTAATTAATTTAGATTAAAACACTCGTTTTATGTCACTTTCTTCAAAATGAGTAATGAAAATGTCCAACAACAGTTAAGAATTGAGCAGCTTTCAGTCTTTTGTGAAGGCAAAAACAAAACATTACCAAACATTTTGATCTAGTTTCTACAGCAAATATCTTACTACACTTGAAATAAGACTAAACTAACTCACAAAGAACTTTTCAGTAAGACACAGGAGTCAACAATCCATTAATACCGATGAAGACGTTCTAGTTCCTCTGGTAGATTTATTCACTTACAGGATATTTCTCCTGTTACGAGTCAAATATTCTGCCAGTGGAACCAGAACTTTTCATCAAAATTAAGGAGTTATTGATTTAAAACAAGCTCCTAATCTTACTGAAACATTACCTGTAAGCTAATTGTGTCTCACTTTAGAAGTACTAAGATAGTTGAGTTGGAAAATAAACATAAAATACTGAATTTTTGCAGCGGTTGCAAAACAGTTTACTGTGTATTTTTGAATCACTTTAGGTTTTGTGTTGTCCTAAAATCTAATTAACATTTAGATTTAAATGTAAACTAACTAAATCATAGTTAGTTTTGTCTTATTTCACAAGTACTAAGATATTTGCACTAGAAACTAAACAAAAATACTCAATATTTGCAGTGGGTGCAAAACTTTTAAACAATTAAAAGTAGTTTTGTCCTCAATCTAAATGAGATTTAGACCAAATCTACACCAGGTGTCGTCCTCAATCTAAGCCAGATTGAGGACGACACTACCTGTCCTAAATCTAGATGAGATTGAGACTACAGACTACACCTGTTGTCCTAAATCTAAATGCCACTTAGATTTATTACGACTAAATTGCTAAAAATTACTCTGTATCTTCAAAGCTCCTATTTCTTGATGAAAAGTTAATTGTAAGTTATTTTTTTCTTATTTCAAGTGACTAAGATGTTTGCCCTGGAAACCAAATATAATTGGTAACTCTCATTGTTTGCTAAAACACTGAGAGTTACTCTCCAAACATTTATTTTTTAGCCATCATGGATTAAATGTCGCACTGGGAGATTGTTTCATTTAAAAATGGGGACATGTCTTGTCATTAAACAATCTGCCATTGGAACTAGTCGTCTCTTTTTTATCAATAGTAAGGACTTAAAGAAAAGCTCCTGATTCTTGCTGAAAAGTTACTTAAAGTTCGTTTTCTCAAGACCAACTAGACCAAACTCCTTGGTCGGATTGTGTTTTTGCAGTGTACCAAAGTTTAAAGGTGAACCACCTGAAGCTGACTCCACCTTCAGTCCTCCAAGCTGTAAAAGGAATCCGTTTCTCCCTCTCCTTCTTCCTGGCTTAAACTCGTCCAGCGGCAGAGATCCGACATCGGCTTCGCCTGCAGACACAGAAGGCCTTGTGTCCCATCATGTACTCTGCGGGCCTGGAGATCCTGGGGATGATCCTGGCGGTGGCAGGCTGGCTGGGGGTGATGGTGGCGTGCGGCCTGCCCATGTGGCGCGTGGCGGCCTTCATCGGCCAGAACATCGTCATCTCCCAGGTGATCTGGGAGGGCCTGTGGATGAACTGCTCGGTGCAGAGCACGGGCCAGATGCACTGCCGCGTCCACGAGTCCATGCTGGGGCTTCCCACCGACCTGCAGGCCGCCCGGGCCTTGGTCATTGTCTCCATGGTGATGAGCATCGTGGGAATCGGCTTGGCGGTGGCCGGCGCCAAGTGCACCAACTGCAGCCGGGACGTGAGCAGCAAGCCGCGGCTGGTGGTGGCGTCCGGCGTGACGTTCGTGGCGGCCGGGCTGCTGATGCTGGTGGCCGTGTCGTGGACGGCCCACGCCATCGTGCTGGGCTTCTACGACCCCATGCTGGAGGAGACCGGGAAGCGGGAGTTCGGGAACGCTCTGTACTTTGGCTGGGCCGCGTCCTGCCTGCTCATCCTGGGGGGCGCTCTGCTCTGCTGCTCCTGTCCGTCTAAAGCTGCAGCAGCAGCTGCAGCAGCGCCGAGTGGCGGCGTCTCCGTGGCGCCCAGGGTGGATTACTCAGCCATCAAAAGCGCTTCGGTCAACGGATACACCAGGAAGGACTATGTCTGAACGACTGACATGACTGAAAATGTTTGTGGATAGAATAACAAAGACAGAGAACCTTCCCAAGCACTTCCCTCTAGTTTCTTTAAAACAAGCTCACCTATCTTGCTGAAAAATTTCTTAAAGTTAGTTTTATCTTACTTCATATGTGCTAAAACTAAAAATACTTGGTAAAATGTTGTTTTTGCAGTGAAATAATGTCTTTTTGCACCTAAAGACATTTTGACGTAGATTCTGTTCCTATAAACTTTTTGTTTCTTAGATTTACTTCAAAACTTTGGATATTTTATGCAAATTACTTCAGTACACTGTAGAAACACTAAACTTTACCAAATATTTTTGTCCAGTTTATATTTACACTTGGAGGTAACTTTTCAGTAGGATATAGGATCTTGTTTTTAATCAATAATTCTTAAGAGAAAAACACAACATGGGAAAAAATGTCTTGATATGAGTGAAATAATGTCCCAGTGGAACTAATCAATACTTTTTAATCAATAATTAATTATTATTGACTTAAAATCTTGCTGTAAGGTTACTTCAAAGTTAGTTTTGTCTTTTCAAACCAGCTGAAACAGAGTTTATTTAAAACAAGACTGTTTAGAGTTATCTTTGATTGGTAATAAGTGAATCGTTGATCAATATATTTGATGTGTATTTGACTGATGAGTTTTATATTTGACCAAATGTACTAACTGCTTCATAATTGATGTTTTCATGATGTGAAGCACTTTGAACTGCATTGTAACTGAAATGTGTGAAACAAATAAACTTGACTTTATTTAATTCAAAGTGAACTGAGATATTCCACCAGAATTAGACCAAAAATACTTGGTCAGATTTTATTTTTGTACATTTTTCATGTAGATTTTGTTCCTAAAAAAGGAAAATGTTCCTGTAAAATGTTTCAATCTGAGATTTTAGCTTTTTCATTAAAACTAATTAGTTATTAAAATTAATAATTACTTAAAAACTTTTGGTCTTTCTTCAGCGCACTGTAAAACCATAAAATCTTACCAAGTATTTTTGTCTAGTCTCTACAGGTAATATCTCACAGTGCAGTTGAAATAAGACAAAACTACCTCATAATAAAATTTTCGGTAAGATATAGAGTTTGTTTTAGGTAAATAATTTCTTAATAATGATGAAAAAGTTCTAGTTTCACTGGGAAATTATTTCGCTTATGATATGGAAGAAATGTTTTTGTTAAAAGTAAAATAATCTTCTAGAGGAACTAGAAATTTTTCATCAATATCAAGGAAATATTTACTTAAACCAAGCTCCTGTATCTTGCTAAAAAGTTTTTATTTTAATTCAAGTGTACTAAGATATTCTCACTAGAAACTAGACCAACAAACACGTTGTTAAAAAATGCCTTTTTGTACATCTTGTATAAAGATTTTGTTCCTAAAAATGGAAAACCAAGTTTTTAATTCTGTGCTTTCAGCTTTTCTTTAACTCTAATTTGTTGTTAAAATGAATACTTTCATACTACAAATTACTTGGGTATGCAGAAGCTCGAACACATGCCAGGCCTGTCAGTCAGCAGCGTCTGACCAATAAGAGCGGTTCTGGTGCGAGCCCAAATGAGGAGTTTTATTTCAGCGTAAGTGCAGGTGAGGAACAATGGGGGGCTTGTTTCCGAGGAGCGCCTTCTGCTCTCCGTCCGTTGTGACCTGTCCTCCACTTGCAAGGCGAAACTGACTAAGAGATAAAGGTCTCCATCTGTTCGGAGGGGGGATGAAATTTGGACTGTAACTGAGTCCAAACTGAGAGACAAAGAGTCTATTGATCAGTTGTTTGAAATTGTTTACCTCATCCTTCTTAAGGTGCCGTGCAACACAGGTGAAATGCATCCAGAACTTACAGAAAGGTGAACATAAAAACATAAAGGAAAGTGCTTCAAAAAACTCATATATGCTGAGATATTGAGATAAAACAGGAGCAAAAAGCTTCTTTTCAGATTGAATTGCACCATTTTTCTTCCTGGAAGTCACACAAATGAAGCCAAAAATGCACTGCAAAAACACAAAGTATCACCAAGTACTTTTGTCTCATTTCTAGTGCAAATATCTTAGTACACTGGAAATCAAACAAAACTAACTTACAAGTAACTTTTCAGCATGAAATATGAGCCTGTTTTAAGCAAATAACTCCTTAATATAGATGAAAAAGTTTGAGTGCCACTGGTAATGCCGTTACCTAGCAACCCCAGCCCAGCCCGTTACCTAGCAACCCAGTTATAGTTCTACTGGCACTGAAAACATGGGGAAAATGTCTTATGAGTGAGACAGCCTGCTAGTAGAAGTAGTACTTTTTTAAAATCAATATCAAGGAATTATTGACTCAAATCAAGAGCCTATAACCTCCTGAGAAGTTACATCTAAATTAGTTTAGCCTTATTTCCAGTGTACGAAGATGTTTGCACTAGAAACTAGATAAAAAATACTTGGTAAGATTTTGTGTTTTTGCTGTGTGTTTAGAATGACTACAAAAACACACAGCAGTGGAAAGTTAGAGTTTTTTGGGGGGGTTTTAGCTCAGACTCATCTGAATGTGGTAGAAACCTCCATTCAGTGACCACAGATTATATTTAACTTTCCTGTGTAGACATATTTCACGATAAACTGAAAAAAAAATCTGCTAGAGGTTGTGCCAAACCCACAAAATAAGTAGACTATCTTACATTTAAGAGGAAGCTAATCTACAAAGTCAGTCGCAAAAACATTTATACGAGTAAAATATGAGCAGAACCCTGACATTTACTGAACTCATTTAGGGAAGTGAGGAGTCCTCAAGTAGCAGTAATGAAGGATATCATGAGGATTTAAATGGACGTTTAGACAGATACTTTAACACAGTGGCTCAAGCTTTGCTGTAGAGACACAATCCCTTTGCTCCTGAGGTTACCACCATTTATGGTCCTGGAAAAATCTCCATTTTGGTTTTTTCTTCTTCTGGTTTTCATTCACTATGACAAAGGACACTTTACAAAATATTTGATTATATATGGATTTTGTGGGGTGGCATATAATGCAGTGTGATTGTAACCAGAAGCTTGGTAATACTTGGTAACAAATCTCTGATTCAAAGGCTGGTTATTTGGTTAAAAATGATGATTCATCATTTACTTTAGTAGTTTTACCCATTTCTGCTCAGTTTGATCCACATTCTACTTCCTTAGTGCACAGTTCTATAATTAATCAAGCAAAAGAAAACTCACTAATTAGCACATCGGTTATATAATCTTTTCAAAAGTGTTCATTCAACTTCTCTCATCAGCTTATTAAAACAGGGCAACT